CAAAACTCCAAGCAGGAGGAGGGCCATGGTAGTCAAGTCTGCAAATTGGAGATGCCCAGCAAATAAGAGAGGCGTGGTAGACAGCAGGTTCCACTTGGAGCGTCCCCAAGGCTTCCTGCCTCCTCGGTCTCAGGCCTCTTGCCCACCCACCTGTGCTTTGATCAGAGGGTAGGAGACCCAGTCCACACATTTTCTGTCTTTGCTGTCTAGGCCCATAGCTAGAAGCTATCAGAGACACTCAGTACATTCATTTATTGTTTAAACGTTCAATGAACTTAGCATATTTCAAGAACGACTTTCCCTATCCTTTTTTATTGATAACATTTTAAGAGTTCTTGAAAGCTTAGCCTGAACTCTCCAGGCCAAGCATGCTATCTTACTGCCAGAATGTTCCCCTTCACATGGTGGTGGTGGAGGTGTTGATCCTTGAAGCACTGGGAATACCATTATTATAGGACTGAGGATTTCTGTCCAAATGCAGTACAAATATTTTGTTTACAATTTTTATATGAAAACTGTAATCACACAAAATCCAATTTTCTCTTTTCATCTCAAATTTGTTATATCGTTTTTCAATTTTGAGATTTATAATATCCATGTTAGTGTTTCCTTAGTCATACAGTTAATTCAGTGCTTGTTACCATTTCTTTTCTAGCAGTTTTCCCATTTAGCCCGCCTATGGTGATTCATGCTCAGCATTGCGCATATAGAGGAATGGTTTTGAATGAATGAGAACTAAGGGCTGGGAGGGATTCTTCCTTTCCCTTCTATTACAACAGAATTGGCTCCCAAGGATGATCTTTGCAGCCCAGGACCACTCCTTCTCCTCAGCAAAGCTCTCCTGGCAGTCTGAAGCTCCACAAACTTGCATCCCTGTGACACCTCTGGGCAGAAGAGGACTCCTGCTGAAGGGAGCTGCAGTGCGGCCCTCCCGCCGGGAGGGGGCGCCAAGGCCAGGCGAGTGCGGCGAAAGTGCGCTCCTCTCTCCGAGCCGCTCGCCTCCCCGACCTCGCGCCCGCACGCGCCCTGCGGACTCGGCGTAGGGGTTGGCGCCGGCCGCGGTCGGGCCGTCACGGGCTGACGCCGAGCGCGCCCGCCTTCCCTCGCCGGGCGCCCGGGCCTTGGTGCGCCGCTGCGGCCCATGGGGAGGGTCGGCCTGGCCGGCCGGGTAAGTGGCGCCCCGGGGGCCCCGGGCCGGGAGGCGGGGCGGGAGCGCCTTCGGGGGCACCGGGTCCGGAGGCCGCGGCTTCAGGCCACGCAGCAGCGGGGAGGCCGGTCCCCCCGCCCGGCCCCCCGTTTGCTCCGCGCCCGCCGCCGCCGCTTTCCTCTATTCGCCTCCGGTCGCCGGGCCTCGGGCTCTTCCTTCTCCCCATTCTTTTCCGTCTGTCTGTCCGTCTGTCTGTCTGTCCGTCCGTCTGCTTTGGACCTGAGGACGTTTCCTCTCCCCCCCGGGGGGGTCATGCTTTTGGAAAAGTTGCGGGTCCCGGGGGCCGGGCCCTGTCACCTGTGGCCCAGCGCCCTCGCCCCCTCGGAGGCGGGGGCGGAGCGGAGAGGAGCCTTTCCTCCTGGGCCGGGGCCCCCGCCGTCACCCCTCAGGGACAGGGGCTTCCTGGGGTCGCCTCCGTCTGTGTGTGTGCCTTACAGCGGCGTTGTAGCTTTAAAACAACAAGCATCTCGTAAGGTCACCTCTTGCCCAGACCAGATGGTGTGAACAGCAGTTGCAAGATGAGCAGGATTCTGTCCCTGCTCGGAGTTTGGTCTCTAAGGAAACAGCCATCTAAACCCATGCGTGGACCTGAATGGGATCTGTACTGGCTTCCAGGAGGGAGTGATGCTTATGCCTGAGTCTTCGAGGTGTTTTGTCGGATGAGCAAGATAGGGGAAAGGTTTCCTGCTGAGGAAAGGAGTGTGAAAAGGTAGCTTCTGCTACCAGAAGCACCATGGAGCATTCTGGGAGCTGCCAGCCAGGCAGAGAGGTCTGAAGAGAGGCAGTCAGGTCAGGTTAAAAGGTCCCTCAAGAAGTCATTAGAGGAGAGCTAGCCTTTGAAGGTACTAATTGCTAGAGCCAGGCGAGTGGATGGAAAACGTATTCTGGATAAGGGCAAAATGTACATGTATACCGGTAGATGAAGGCTGTATTTCCCAGCAGCAGGTGGAGTTTTTAAAGGATGCAACGCAGTTTCCACATTTTTATGGGATAAAGGTTGCAGACATTTTGGCTATATGGGGTAACAAATTAAGTAACTTATTGTAAAATGGAGTGTGTGTTATTTTTAGAATTTTATCAAATGTGTTGCAGCCCAAGCCGGTTTGGCTCAGTGGATAGAGGGTCGACCTTCGGACTGAAGGGTCCTAGGTTCGATTCTGGTCAAGGGCACATGCCTATGTTGTGGGCTCCATCCTCCATGGGGGGGGGGGGGGGGGGAGCCTGCAGGAGGCAACCAATCAATGATTCTCTCATTAATATTTCTATCTCTCCCTCTCCCTTCCTCTCAAGAAACAATAGAACAAATGTATATTTAAAGAAAAAAATTTTTTTAAAAGAAATGTGTTGTAGCCCATCTGGTGTCACTGAGCCTGGGCTGTTGAACCAGGAAGTCACAGTTTCCTGATCAGGGCTTGATCCCAATAGGGATATGCAGGAGGCAGCCAGTGGATTCTCTCTCATCATTGATGTTTCTCTCTTCCTCTCTAAAATTGACAAAAGTGGATTTTCTTAAAAAAAAAAAAATGTGCTGCAAGCTGTACAGTTTACAGTAGATTGAGATAGACAGAAATATAACCTGGTGTAATAAAAGTGTTAACAGTGAAGAGCTATTCTGGTTGTGGAGCTCTCTGATGACTAAAGATAGCTTTGATGGAAAACTAGAGGCCCGATGCATGAAATTCATGCAAGAGTAGGCCTTCCTTTCCTTGGCTGCCTGCACTGGCTTCCCTCTGGCACCGGGATCTGAGCTTCCCTCGTAGCTCCAACTTCATTTGGAAGGACATTTGGTCTAATTAGCATATTGTGCTTTTATTATTATAGATAAGAATTGGGGGGGGGGGTGTTTGTGCGTTCCCAAATTTAACTTTATAAAGTGGATTTTGTTTGTTTAATTTTTAGAAAGGAAGGAGAGAGGGAGAAACATTGATTTGTTGTTCCACTCATTATGCATTCATTGGTTGTATGTATCCTGGGAATGATGAAATCCACTCGCCCTGGCCAGGTAGCTCAGTTGGTTAAAGCATCGTTCTGATATGCCCAGTTTTAGCATCACTGTTTTGGCATATCAGAACAGAGCTTTAACCAACTGAACTATCTGGCCAGGGCAAGTGGGTTTCTTTTTACCTGGTTTGTTGTTGTTTTTAAATGTGCCTTTTTATGTTAGGAGAGAGAAACATCAATTGGTTGCCTCCTATACCCACCCAACTGGAGATTGAACTGGCAACCTGGGCATGTGCCCTGCCTGGGAATCGGTGCACAATTTGATGGTCTACCAACTGAGCCATACTGGACAGGACTTTCCTGGTTTGTTTTAAATTATCTTCATGATCCAGCACTAGTAATCCCTCTAGTCTTTCATAATAGTAAACTGTGAAGGATGTTCTATTATACACCTAACTTACAGGTGACACTCAGGGACTTTGTTTGGAATACACTCCAGCCTATGTTATTTTGGTAATAATTGAGTCTATGAAAATTAGTGGGAGTATTAAACTGTAACAAGGGTATGAGAGATGGAGGTATAGTGAAATCTTAAAATTCTTTAAAAAGTCATTGTAACTCTACGAGGCAGATGCTTTGTGTTACCTATATTTTTTGTGGACATCAATGTACGTTGCACCTCCTGTTCCTTTCTGTCGGTATATTTTTCCCATATTCTTTAGGTTTCATTTTCCCTTCTTGGTACCTGAATATCTATTTAGTGATGATAAGGCCTCTTACCAGTCTTGCTTCTTGTGGTGCTCAGAACAGGCCTTGATTTATTTATTTTTTAAAGTATATTTTATTTATTTTTTAAAATATATTTTATTGATTTTTTTACAGAGAAGAAGGGAGAGGGATATAGAGTTAGAAACATCGATGAGAGAGAATCATCGATCAGCTGCCTCTTGCACTCCCCCTACTGGGGATGTGCCCACAACCAAGGTACATGCCCTTGATCGGAATCGAACCCGGGACCTTTCAGTCCGCAGGCTAATGCTCTATCCACTGAGCCAAACCGGTTTCGGCAGGCCTTGATTTATTATTAGTTGTATGGTTGTAGTATTTTTTTGTCCCATTAATTATAGTATACTATTTAAAATATACCATACTTATATCAAATACCACTTACCATAAGTTAATACCCTAAAAGGTCAGATCTGCAGATCTTATCCTATATAATCAAAGTCTACCGAAAGGCGGAATGACCAGTCACTATGACGTGCACTGACCACCAGGGGGCAGACACTCAATGCAGGAGCTGTCCCAATGGTCAGTGTGCTCCCACAGGGGGGTGCCGCTCAGCCAGAAACTCGGCTCATGGCTGGCGAGCGCAGTGGTTGTGGTGGGAGCAGGAGCCTCTCCTGCCTTTGCATCAGCGCCGAGGAGCAGCAGCCCGAGAGGTAAGGAGCAGTGAGCAGGCAGGCAGTAAGGAGCAAAGGTCCCGGACTCTGGAGAGCGGACAGGCGGACATCCCCTGAGGGATCCCGGACTGCGAGAGGGTGCAGGCCTGGCTGAGAGATCCGCCCCCCTCCAGTGTACGAATTTCTTGCACTGGGCCTCTAGTTTTTTCATAATAATGTAATTTAAATAGGTACATTTTCTTGCTGTTGCTCTGAGTTTTTCAGATTAAATTTAAAGTTTAAGGATATCTTGTCTAAATTTTAATTTAGATAAGAATGATTAGTGCTGAATACCAGGTAGGCTAAGGGGAAGTAGACTCCAGAGGGATTCCCTCTAAAGCCTTGAAGACAGGTTGTATTTCAGCCATACTAAATTAAGAAATGGAGTTCATTACTTTTTCTTCATTTAGTTTTAGTGACTCAAGTGTAACGTGACAAGGCATTGCCAAGTTCCTGAATAAAATGTTCACTGTGTCTGGCACTGAAGGCAGTGGGCATTTCCCTGTTGGATGTGCTCTCTAGGAAATTGTACCTGCTTCTATCAGCTGAGCTGTTGAGTTTTCACAGAAGCCTTAATGTAGGCATCTTTGGATTTCCAGGTCATTCATTGGAGCAGCCACCAGTACCCTGGACTCTGCTTTTATTCATCCTGCTTCTTTGCGACCTTGGGGCCCTTTCATTAAGAAATCAAAACAGAGCTTTTAGGTAATCTGAGGGTTTGAATATTAAGAAGCAACAATGTAGTGGGGCACTGATTTCCAGACAGAGAGAGCTATTCTGAGGGAATAAAGTTGGTATCCACCCCTGTCACCTCCCACTCCACACAAAGAAACCAAGGTCAGCTAAAGCAGTGGTCGGCAAACTCATTACTCAGCAGAGCCAAATATCAACAGTACAACGATTGAAATTTCTTTTAAGAGCCAAATTTTTTAAAACTTAAACTATGATATATAGGTAGGTACATTGTTATTATTTTATAGAAGAGCCACACTTCAGGGTCCAAAGAGCCGCATGTGACTCTCGAGCCGCAGTTTGCCCACCATTGATAAAGAGTTGGGCAGCAGGGTCCTAGAATACCTGTCATAGAAGGGTGGAGAAGTAACATACACCTGAGAGAAATTTTTGCCCTGTGTCAGATGTAACCCTGGGGGGAATCTCCTTGTCCATGTCTCTTTCTCTTCCTGAGACACAGACTCAGGCAGAACAGGTTTTGTATAACACAGTGTTTATAGCAAAATGCTGTCCGGGCCTGGAAACTGTCAGATTTTTGGATGTGTTCATAAATAGGAAGTTACCTATTTGCAATTTAGGGATTTTAAAAAATTGTTTTCCACCTGAGAAAGGTTATATCTTATATTGAGAAGTGGGCCATGTTGTGGGTTTCAGAATGTTAAGGGTTTTTTTGTTGTTGTTTTTAAGTTGGCAGTAGGGATTTACTTGAAAGGACTGTGGTGTTCACCTGACTGGGTTTGAAATGACTTGGGGCAGGTTTATCTCCTGAAGTCTCACCCAGTTCCCCATCTATAACCTAATTCTAGGCTTCCTCAGCAAATACTGCATTTACAACCACCCTGGCCAGATAAGGTTTAATAAATGTTAGCCATTGTTGTCTTTTTTTTTTTTAATTACATTCTTTTAAAAAATATATATATTTTATTGATTTTTACAGAGAGGAAGAGAGAGGGATAGAGAGCTAGAAACATCGATGAGAGAGAATCATCTATCAGCTGTCTCTTTCACACCCCCACTGGGGATGTGCCCGCAACCAAGGTACATGCCCTTGACTGGAATCGACCTTTCAGTCTGCAGGCTGATGCTCTATCCACTGAGCCAAATCGGTTTTGGCAATTGTTGTCTTCTTTTTTAAAAATATATTTTTTTTATTGATTTCAGAGAGGAAGGGAAAGAGAGAGGGGGAGAGAGAGAGAAACATCAATGATGAGAGAATCATTGATCAGCTGCCTCCTACATGCCCCCCATTGGGGATTGAGCTGGCAACCCAGGCATGAGCCCTTGACCGAAATCTACTCTGCAGGCTGATGGTCTATCCATGAGCCAAACCAGCTAGAGCAACCATAGTTGTCTTCATTTTTGTTGTAATCTTGTATTCCTCTATTCTGCAGGGATATTGTGTATTGATCATTCACATGTAGATCGATTATCTTTTTGTAACCAGTGTCATGAGGAAGTTAGGATATTTAAGATCTAACCCTCCACACTTCTCTTAACAAGCAATAATAAAAAAAAAAAAAAATATCCTTTGATTAACCTACTTCTGTGAGATCACTTCTTTGTTTTTTTTTTTTTTTTAATTTCTAGGGATACGTTTAAATTTTTTCTTCTATAAAAGGTAGCGAATTGTGCTTAGTGAACCTTCTCCTTTTTGCTATTGAGACCAAATAGAATTTTAAAAATTGGATATATGTAATTAATAATGTCCTGGATCTAGAACCTTTCATCTTTAGCTCATTATATGCTATAGAACAGACTGATTTCATTCACAAATTCCTTGACCACATGATCTTATTAATTATAGAACTTTATTTTTAAAATAATACATGCATATTAGAAAGTTCGCTTATTAGTTATATCAAATGTCTTGGCTTTTGTCCAAGGTTCCTAGGCTGGGGGAATCTCTTTAAATACATTTTACCTCTACAATTCCTTGAAAATGAGTTATTTTAACACAAGAATATTTTTTGTTTGTTTATTAATCCTTATCCAAGGATATTTATTCCATTGATTTTTAAAGAGAGTGGAAGGGAGGGAGGAAAGAAAGGAGAGAGAAAGGTGAGAGACATACATTGATTGGTTGCTTCCTGCATGCACCCCACTTGGGATTGGGACTGAACCTGCAACCCAGGCGCATGCCCTTGGCTGGGAATTGAACCCATGACCCTTCGGTGCATGGGCTGACCAACTAACCACTGAACACATTGGCCAGGCAACATGAAAAGACTTTAAATCTTTACTGTATTTTGCATTTTTTAACCCCTCCCTTGCCTTTCAGCATTAAACTGAAAAGATGTCACTGTATGATGACCTGGGAGTGGAGACCAGTGACTCGAAAACAGAAGGCTGGTCCAAAAACTTCAAACTTCTACAGTCTCAGCTTCAGGTGAAGAAGGCAGCTCTCACTCAAGCAAAGGTAAGATAAGCCCACAGTGTGAAAGTAGAAGTCTACAGAGCAGGTTCCTCCTTAGATAAAGTGTAATATGATTTTAGCTTGCTCTGCTGCCTTTTTATTGATTATGTAGGCTTAAACATTATTGGGGAGAGAGGCTCTATGTAGAGAAGAATAAGGAGCTAAGGGTCATTTTGCTCTTCCCAATTTCTGGGAATAGAACTATTTCAGGGATTCCAGTGGAGAAAGGCAATACTCTTTGTTTCCAACAGTGGTACAGGTTTTCAGACTTCAGTATGTCTAAGATTACTGAGAATTTTGTTAAAGTATTGCTTTGGTGGTCATATTCCTGATATTCTGGTAAATTCTGGTTCTAGGTTGGGGCCCTTGGGCGTTTGCATTTTTGGTAATATTCCTACTGTTAGTTGTAGGTGATTTTGAATCAGCACTTAGCTCTGCAGTAATTATTAGTAAGCTATAATAATGAGTTTGGGTTTTTGAGGGCTCAGATTGGTTGTGAATATGTCAGGTATATGTAGTGTGGAAGTCATTGTTTTTGTTGTAGTTGTATACATGTTGGGCATTGGCTGTATCCTTGAAATTATTCAACATGTAAAACATTAAAAACATAGGTGCCCACTGGATATTTGATATTAAAATGTTACTGTCAAATACTTTTAGGAACAGAAAATAGAAAAGCAGAATAAAAATATTCCAGAGATATACAAATTAAAAACTACTAGATAATTTGTTTCTTCCTGCCTAATACTTTAGGATCACTTTCTCTACCCAGCCAGCATAATTATAAGTAGGTTAAAAATCAGCTTGAATAAAATAAAGCTGAGAAAAATAGATTCTTCCAAAGAGAAGTATATTTAAAAGTTATAAAATTTATGATTTTTCTGTACAATTATTTTACTCACATGAGAAGTAAAGAATTGGGTGCTGATAAGCAAGTTATGTTTTTATATGAACTCTAGACTCTTAAAAAAAAAAATCTAGACTCTTAGACATCCTCTGTAGTATACGCTTCAGACTTATGCTTTTCATCTTTTCACTTACCCAAATACATTAACTTCAGGAAATCTCCTAAGATTTCAAATAGATTTTATAATTGGTCAAAATAAAAAGTTGCTTATGAAATCATTTCTGCTAACTTTCTAATATCTTTGCAATTTCAATGTGAAATTAATGTTGTATTTTCATTAAGGGAGGTAAAGATACATTTCATTGATTCTCATAGACTATTTATTTTTTTAATATATTTTATTTATTTTTTACAGAGAGGAAGAGAGAGGGATAGAGAGTTAGAAACATCGATGAGAGAGAATCACCGATCAGCTGCCTCTTGCACACCCCCTACTGGGGATGTACCCGCAACCAATGTACATGCCCTTGACTGGAATCAAACCCGGGACCTTTCAGTCTGTAGGCCGACGCTCTATACACTGAGCCAAACCGCTCTATACACTGAGCCAAACCGGTTTCGGCTCTCATAAACTATTTAATTTACTAATTAATTACTCAGTACCAGGTTGTCATAACCAAATCTATAAAGGTATTTGGTAGAGAAAATGTTACCTACAGACTGAAATTGTGGTTTCATCTGTATCTCCATTTTTAAAACATATCAAATAGAAAAATGTATGATTCTGATGCCACTTACCTCCATTGTCCTTTAAACTTTGGTTTTTACCTTGTGAATTGTAACTTATTGATTGGATTAAATTTATTTGCTTGACATGATAAGTGACGTTAAATTCTAGAGAGATGGTGGCTTATTTTGAGCCTTTTGTAGTGATTGATAACAATGAAAATGTATAACACTTTAAAACTGCAAAGGGAGAGGGAACTTAAATCTTTATAACCAAAAGATCTGGTAGACACCTCTGTACTCATCTGGTCATGATTAGCATTATTAGCAGACAGCCTGAGTTGTGTGCCTGCTGGGGTGAAGCAGCATGAAGTATACCGCCATATTCTATCCTAAGAGCACTGCTCTAACCTAATCAAGATTTAACTTAGTTTTCAAGAATTGTAGGGCATAGATGAATAAGTGAAACTAGACAACCAGGAATTTATCAAACAGATCTTAGGATTTTACAAGACAGTATCAGAGGAAAAAGAGGAGACAAAAATGATTACAATGATGACAGCAAGGAGGGAGATAATTCCTAAATCAGAAGACTTAAAAACCAAATGCATTGTGGACTTTTGGTAGGATTCTGGTTCAAAATAAAATCAACTATTTAGAAGACATTTGAGGGATAGTTTGGTAAACCTGAATATGAATTGGATAGGAACTGATACAGGGTATTATTGGTTTTATTAGGTGTGGTAATAGTGTAGTGGTTATGTAAAAGGATGTTCATAATTTTAGCTGATTAAGGATAGCATCCTGGTGTCTTCAAATTTTTTTCAAATGGTTCAACGTTAATATAGGTGTAAGGTAAACCAAATACGATAAAATATTAACAATGGTTGATGGTATATGAATAATCATGTTTTCTTTAGAAAAAAAAATTTTCTGTAGGTTCATAATAAAATAGGTAGGGCAGGATTTTATATTCTACTGGGAGGGGGAAAAACTCTCATGTTTTGCCCAGGTTATAAAAAAATACCCATTCTTTGTGAAAGATCCACACTAGTCAAAGCCTAATATGCTGTTATAGATTTTCCCTCGTGGTCAAAGGAGAATCCATTGTAGAGATGATTTCACATGCAAACTTAAATAAAACTGACCAAGTTTAATATAAGTCTTTTTACAGTAGAGAAAATTTGTTTTTTTGGGAAAAAAAAAAAGCCAATGAAATTAGTTTGTGGTTATAGTAATAATTGAATTAAAAGGCTATTTTAAGATTATGATTTTCTTGTATTTGAATAATTACAAAGACCTCCACAGACCCCTCAAGAAAAGCTTTGTTACAAATAGTATGAATTTTAATTTGAAGCTTCAGTAAACTCTGTTTTTCAATGATTTTAGAGCCAGAGAACAAAACAAAGTACAGTCCTTGCCCCGGTAATTGACCTAAAGCGAGGCGGCTCTTCAGATGACCGGCAGATTGTGGACACCCCGCCTCACGTAGCAGCTGGCCTGAAGGTAAGCCCGTCCTCTGACCTTGACAGTCTTTCCCGCTAACTGTATGTCTTATTTCATGCATATGTCACTCTGGGCACGGTCTTCAGTAAACATTTGCAGCCTAGTCAGTATCATTTTCAACTTAGTTTTTACCTCTATTTTATCAAGTTTGAAACATTTAGCTGTTTAAAATAGTTTATTACAGAAAAATCAGAAACTAGAGATATGCGAGAAGAAAAACAAATGACTTCAATCCGACCCAGAAGTTAAAAACTTTAGATTTTGGAATATCTTCCCATCCTATGCCTCCTCTACCTACTGTTTTCTAATTTATTAGGTCTAGTAATAATTAATGTCGTTTTCTAATACCTTTTTAAAATCGAATTTATTTAAACAATACAACAAAATTTAATCAACAATATAGTTGCCGTTGTTTTCTACTATTTGTGCCCAACGCTCAGGAAGCATTTTAATCCGTCTGTTGTAAAATTCTTGTGATTTTGATGCAAAAAATTCGGTCAATGCATTTTTGAGGCATTCTTCATTGTTAAATTTTTTTTCCAAGAAGAAAGTTTTGCAAAGAACGAAACAAATGGTAATCGGAAGGGGCAATATCAGGAGAATATGCAGGTTGAGGGAGAACTTCCCATTCCAACTGGCGCAGTTTTTCAGCAGTGATTCTTGCAGTATGCGGTCATACGTTATCGTGGTGAAGAATTACGCCCTTCCGATTAATCAGCGCGGGTTCTTTTTCTCTTAAAGCTTGGGCTAACCTTTCCAATTGGGCACTATACACTCACTGCACTTGTAATGGTTTGGTTAGATGGTAAAAGTTCATAATGAAGAATTCCTTTAAAATTCCACCAAACACACAACATCACTTTTTTTCGCATGCAAGTTAGGTTTTGGCGTGGGCTGCTGGAGCCTCATTTTTGTCCAACCATTGAGGCCGCCTTTTCAAATTAACATACAGCACCCATTGTTCATCTCCGGTAACAATTTGCTCTAAAAACGGCAAACGGTTTTGACGAGTTAGGAGCGAACTGCAAATTGTGACTCTTTGATTACGGTTGTTGTCGGTCAACTCATGAGGAACCCATTTTCCAAACTTTTGGACTTTGCCAAGTGCACGCAATTGATTGGAAATTGTTTTTTGTGAACAATTTAAAGTTGTCGCAAGCTCTTGTTGGGTAATTTGAGGATTTTGCACCAAAAGAGCTTGAAGAGCTTCTTGATCAAAATTGGACACACGGCCTCGACCACTCTTGTCATCTAACGAAAAATTTCCCTCGGGAAATTTCTCAAACCAACGCTGGCATTTTCTGGCGCTAACTGCATCTTGACCAAGAGCACTACAGATGTTTTTTGCAGCCTCACTTGCTTTTCTTCCTAATTGGAACTCGTAAAGCATGCAGTGCCGAATATGCTCTTTATCCGCCATCTTCTTAGCCCTAGTTTTGCAACAAAAACCAAACCAAACACAAACTTTTTCAAGCAAAACTTGTTAATTGCACTTCACACGTTCTGTAGATACCACGTGTTTGAAGGTTATGTCAATACAAGTCAACGCCAAGCAAGATTTTAAACGAATGTTAAAAACGACATTAATTATTACTAGACCCGATACTTATTTTGCTTAAAATATTGGGACTGTCCATCTCTGTAAGAAAGTATAGGACTGTAGCCGAAACCGGTTTGGCTCAGTGGATAGAGCGTTGGCTTGCATACTGAAGAGTCCCGGGTTCGATTCCGGTCAAGGGCACATACCTTGGTTGCAGGCACATCCCCAGTGGGGTTTATGCAAAAGGCAGCTGATCAATGATTCTCTCTCATCGATGTTTCTAACTCTCTATCCCTCTCTCTTCCTCTCTGAAAAATCAATAAAATATATATATTTTTAAAAGTATAGGACTGTATATTCATCTTAATGGCTTTACTGTATTCTCTTGTGAAAGTATACTGTAGTTAATTTTCTTAATGCTATCCCCCCAATTTTTGCTATCATAAAGAATTTTAGTATTCATTGTTTTGTTGTGGATTAAAAAAAGGACAATTCTACTGCCCTACCCTTTATTATCCCAATAATTTTGCATAGCTTAAAAACTAAGAAATAGACATAGACAGTTCTGTAAATGGGTTGAGGATGAGGAAGATCTGGAAAAGGATAATTCCAAATCATAGTTAAAACTACACAAAATTGGGGGCAAATTAATTAAACATAATATACAGTTAAAATTACACCCACACTTATACATTTATTCTTCTATATATGGCATTCAAATAATATGACTGTGGCAGTTTAAACATACCAGGCGCACAGGTTGCTTGATGAGAAATGACCAAAGGTTAATGATAGAATATGCTGTTATTGGTGATTATTTCTTACAAGGTACTCTTCCTACCACCCTCTTCCTCCTTATCCCCCACCCCCAAAGGACACACTTCCAGCTGCATGCCCCTTCCCTTCTTTATTTAGTTTCTCATCCTCCTCAGTTTTGACTGTTCTGGTTTGGAATTCTTTTGCTCCCCCACTTTGCTTTTATTCTCAGGCACAGCATAGCTGAAGCTCTTGGTAGGATTTCTTGGCTGGAAGAACTGATACTACTACAGGCTAATAGTCTATATAGAGGGACAGGCACCCCACAGTGAGGTGGGAGGCCCAGGTGGAGATGCTCTGTGGGGGGTTCTTAGTGGCTTAACATGTTTCCCACAAATTCAATACCTAAGTTTTTTTATTTTATTTTATTTTATTTTATTTTATTGATTTTGTACAGAGAGGAAGGGAGAGAGATAGAGAGTTAGAAATATCGATGAGAGAGAGTCATCGATCAGCTGCCTCTTGCACACCCCCTACTGGGGATATGCCCGCAACCAAGGTACATGCCCTTGACCGGAATTGAACCCGGGACCTTTCAGTCCCCAAGCCGATGCTCTATCCATTGAGCCAAACCGGTTTCGGCAACACCTAAGTTTTTCTAGTTTTATCTACTCAGAAGCTGATTCCTCATCTTCTGTTATTGTATATTGATTCTAGAACCTATAATGTTTCCACCCCCAAATATCTAATCAATAAGCATTTTTTCATGTTATGTAGTTTTCATAACCAGTTTTAGTTTTTTTAGTTTTAGTAGTTTTTAAATTTATTTTAGAGAGAGGGAAGGAGAGAAAGAAACACTGATTTGTTGTTCCACTTATTTATGCATTCACTGGTTAATTCTTGAACTAGTATGTGTCCTGACCAGGAACCTTGTTATATTGTTATATTGGGCTGCTCTAACCAACTCTGCTACCTGGCAGGGTTCATAACCAATTGTTTAAAGAATAAATACTTTTTTGATGTTAGAGAGGAAGGGAGAGAGAGAAAGAGAAACAGTGATGTGAGAGAGAGAAACATCTATTGACTGCCTCTTACTAGTACATGCACCCCAACCAGGAATCAAATCCCTGGGCATGTACCTTGTTTGAAAATTGAGCCCACTGCCTTTAGGTGCATGGGGACAACGTTCAACCAACAGAGCCACACCAGCCAGGGCATAACCAATTTTTAATTGTAAAGAATTTCCATCAAGTGAATGTATTGTAACTTATACAAGTGTTTCCTAACTGTAGAACCAACTAGACCTGCTTTTATGTTGGCATTATAAATAACACTGTAATGCACAGCTCCATAGAGAGTGCTCTATGTGTGTAAAGTTATTTTCTTAGGATAGACTTCCTGAGGTGGCATTAAGAAATCAGTAATTTTCGCCAGGACCAGTTTGGCTCAGCGTCGGCCTGTGGACTGAGAGGTCCCGGGTTCGATTCCGGTTAAGGGAATGTACCTTGGTTGCGGGCACATCCTCAGTGGGGTGTGTGCAAGAGGCAGCTGGTCGGTGTTTCTCTCTCATCGATGTTTCTAACTCTCTGTCCCTCTCAATTCCTCTCTGTGTAAAATCAATAAAATATATTAAAAAAAAAAAGAAATCAGTAATTTTCATTGCCAATTTGTGTGTGTGTGTGTGTGTGTGTGTGTGTGTTTTAAAAATTATATTTTTATTGATTTCAGAGGGAAAGGGAGAAGGTAGAGAGATAGAAACATCAATGATGAGAGAGAATCACTGATCGGCTACCTCCTGCATGCCCCCTACCGGGGATTGAGCCCACAACCCCCAGGCATGTGCCCTTGACTGGAATAGAACCTGGGGCCCTTCAGTCCGCAGGCCGATGCTCTATCCACTGAGCCAAACCAGCTAAGGCTGTTTTATTCTCTGTAGCATTTAAAGAAGGATGACTCATTGTTAAACTTAGCAGGGTTTTTTGTTTGTTTTTAATATTTTTATTGATTTTAGAGAGGAAGGAAAAGAGAGAGATAGAAACATCAATGATGAAAGAGAATCATTGATTGGCTGCCTCCTGCATGCCTCCTACTGGGGATTGAGGCCGCAATCCAGGCATATAAGCCAAACCGACTAGGGCAGTGGTTGGCAAACTCATTAGTCAACAGATCCAAATATCAATAGTACTATGATTGAAATTTCTTTTGAGAGCCAAATTTTTAAAAAAAATATATTTTATTGATTTTTATACAGAGAGAAAGGGAGAGAGATAGAGTGTTAGAAACATCGATGAGAGAGAGTCATTGATCAGCTGCCTCTTGCACACCCCCTACTGGGGATATGCCCGCAACCAAGGTACATGCCCTTGACCGGAATCGAACCCGGGACCCTTCAGTCCCCAAGCCGACGCTCTATCCATTGAGCCAAACCGGTTCCAGCAAGAGCCAAATTTTTAAAACATAAACTTCTTCTAACGCCACTTCTTCAAAATAGAGGGGCCAAGGAGCCATATGTGGCTCTCGAGTCGCAGTTTGCCGACCATAGGGCTAAAACAAAGGTTCTTCTTATATTAGTTTTGTGTTCAAAATGAAATACATTTTACAATCTTTCTGCCTTTGATAGTATTGGGCAGTGTGCCTCCTGGAAGAGATGCAGAATGGGCACTCAACAATACTAGTCCTAAGCTATGTTTGTTTTAGGTGCCTATGGAGACCAATTAAAGCCTCTTATTTTTAGGGATAATAAGAAAGAGTTATGCTAAGAAAACATGGAAGAAGAAAGTATGGAGGTTTAGGAAATTTAGGCTGTACATTAGATTGGAGCTTCTCAGAACCAGATAGGGATCAAGGACACCAACCTAAGGTAAAGCCCCTTTTCTAATCATGTATCTTCTAGTTAGCTGTACTGTCTGCCTTTTGTCTTTTTGATTTCTTAGTTAAGACTACCTCTTTTCTTTCAAAGAGTAAGAAGCTCCAGTTTCTAAATATTTAGAAGAGAAATGCATAATCTATCATCTGAACCTGATCTTAGTGGACCTTAAAAAAAGTAATGCGCCTGGCCAGTGACCTCAGTGGTTGTCAACCTAGGAACCAAGAGGTCATTGCACCTGCCCAGGTTGCAGGCTGGATCCCCAGTAGGGGGTGTACAGGAGGCAGCTGATTCATGTTTCTATCTTCCTGTCCTTCTCCCTTCCTCCCTTGTTAAAAAAATCAATAAAAACATATGTAAAGAAATTAATGAAAACATGAAGAGAATGACATCCATCTGTGTCTGTCTACCAGGGAAGGGGTGTATTCCAGAGCATTTCAGAAAGCCCAAGAGGCCCTGGACCGTGTTAGAGAGCACTAGCCTAAGCACCTATAGGTTTCAGGTTAGATTCCCAGTCGAGGGGCATGTACTTGGGCTGCAAGTTCGGTCAAGGTGCGTGCAGAAGGCAACCAGTCAATGTGTCTCTCTCATATCAATGTTTCTTTCTCCCCCACTTCCCTCCTTCCCTCCACTTTCTCCCCCTCCCTTTTACTCTCTAAAAAAATCAATGGGAAAAATATCTTCAGAATATTAATGACCAAAAGAATGATTGTTGTTGTTTTTTTTAAAAATATATATTTTATTGATTTTGTACAGAGAGGAAGGGAGAGAGATAGAGAGTTAGAAACATCGATGAGAGAGAGTCATCGATCAGCTGCCTCTTGCACACCCCCTACTGGGGATATGCCCGCAACCAAGATACATGCCCTTGACCGGAATCAAACCCGGGACCCTTCAGTCCCCAAGCCGACACTCTATCCATTGAGCCAAACAGGTTTCGGCAGAATGATTGTTATTTATGTGTTGTTTGGTTTTTAAGTTTTCACTGAGATATATAAAAACAGAAGTATTCATTGTATACTATATTACTTAAAAGTAGTGGCAGTTTGGAAATTTCAGAAAAGTACCATAGGATATTTATGGAATTAATACTGAACTAAATTCATTATCATGGTTTTGCTGCTACCTGGTGAGTTGTGTGACCATCTCAAGTCATTAAACCTCCTTAGACATTTGTTTCCTCATCTATAAAACAAAGGAGGCATGTAGATGTCATCAAGTCTCCTTCCAACCCTCATATTCTTTTACTTGAATTCTAAAATTTTAAGACACGAGAATGATACCTTGGCATTTTTATCTTTCTCAGGATCCTGTACCCAGTGGATTTTCTGCAGGAGAAGTTTTGATTCCCTTAGCTGATGAATATGATCCTATGTTTCCTAATGATTATGAGAAAGTAGTGAAGCGCCAAAGAGAAGAACGACAGAGACAGCGGGAGCTGGAAAGACAAAAAGAAATAGAAGAGAGAGAAAAGTAAGGCTTGTTTGGATTCGGGGCTATTTTATATTTGAAATATTTATTAGAATGTTAATGAATGAACTTCATTGCTGTCTGTAAAGATGAAGTTAGTTTTTTTGAAATTAGTTTTTTAACATCTCAGCATTAAAACAAAAAACATAGTCTAGAGCAAATTTCATGTATAAATGCAGAAAACTTAAAAGTATGTATTTTGGGTGAGTTATTAGAAAAGTACCTTAGAACAACTTTAACCTGATGTTGAACAATAGTTTCTTTCCTTTGCTATGACTCTTCAATAGTCAGCTATTCAAAATACTTAAATTGACCCTGGTGACTGTGGCTAAATTGGTTGACCCTCTTCCTATGTACCAAAAGGTCACTGATTTAATTCCAGACCATATGCCCTGGTTTCGGGTTTGGTTCCTAGGCCAGGTGTGTATGGGAGGCAACTAGTTGATATTTCTCTCTCATACTGATGTTTCTCTCCCTCTCCCTTCCTTCCTTTTTCTCTTAAAAAAAAAAAATTCAATAAAAACATTAAAAAGTAAGCTGATATTAAAAAAAAATCACAAACTAAAAATAAAATACTCAAATTGTTATATTTTTAACTATTTTTGTGCCAGATGGAAATTTTTTAAAACATGAATCTTTTAAAAAATATTTATGTAAATAAATAAATAAATAAAATATATGTATATTTTTATTGATTTCAGAGTGGAAGGGAGAAATAAAAACATCAGTGATAGAGAATTATTGATTGGTTACCGCCTGCATGCCTCCCCTTCTGAGGATCAGGCCACAACCCCAGCATGTCCCCTTGACCAGAATTGAACCTGGGACCTTTCAGTTTGCAGTCCAACACTCTTTATCGACTGAGCCAAACCAGCTAGGGCAACACATGCTTCATTTATTTATTTATTTATTTATTTATTTATTTATTTATTTATTTATTTATTTATATATATATATAATATGGGCAATAAGGCCTGACTGGTGTGGCTCAGTGGTTGAGCATTGACCTATGAACCAGGAGGTCATGGTTTGATTCGCAGTCAGAGCACATGCCTGGGTTGCAGGCTCAATCCCTCGTGTGGGGCATGCGGGAGTCAGCCAATCAATGATTCTCTCTCATCGTTGATGTTTCTATTGCTCTCTCTTCCTTCCTCTGTGAAATCAATAAAGTTTAAAATAAATAAAAATATGGGCAATAAGAATGTGTATGATTTCTTTGTAAAATATTGCATATTAATTGTTAATAGTTAATAAAATATGCCTGGCTGGTGTGACTCGGTTGGAGCATCGTCCTGTACTCTGAAAGGTTGTGGTTTTGATTCCTGGTTGAGGCGTGTACAGGAGGCAACAGATGGATGTTTTGTTCTCTCTCTCTCTTTTTTTTTTTTTTTTTAGATATTTTATTGATTTTTTACAGAGAAGAAGGGAGAGAGATAGAGAGCTAGAAACGTCGATGAGAGAGAAACACCGACCAGCTGCCTCTTGCACACCCCCTACCGGCGATATGCCTGCCAACCAACGTACATGCCCCTGACCAGAATCGAATCCGGGATCTTTCAGTCCACAGACCAACGCTCTATCACTGAGCCAGACCGGCTTCGGCTGTTCTCTTTTTCTTTCATTCTCCCTCCCTCCTTCCATGCATCCTGTTCTCCCTCTAAATATCAATGAACATGTCATTGTGTGAGGAAAAAAATGTTTATAAAATAGTAATACAGTATTTCTCATTATTTATTGAATCATTTTATGTAATGAAGGCATGTTCTTGAGCGGCAATTTTCAACCCTTTTCATCTCATGGCACACATAAACAAATTACTAAAATTTTGGTGCATACCAAAAAAATATAATCTGACAAAATATGATTGGCAAAAAACAATAGATATAATTTTGATTCACTCACACCAGACTATTGTGTTGTCTTTTTTCTTTCTTTCTTTTTTTTTTTTTTTTAACATTTAAGGGAAAAGAGGTTAGTGCCCTTGACTAAATAGTCAGGTATTGCTTTTTTTAAAAATTCTTGTGGTATACCAGTGTGCTTCTCACACACTGGTTGAAAATTGTTCTAGAGAATTAGAATTGTTAAACTATTACCTGTGTTGATATGCTTTAAAATTGAAAGAGGTAAATACAAAGTAAACTTTTGTGTTGCTACTTATATAACCATTAAATATGTTCACTTGTCATACTTGTGCTAAAGAGTCTTCAATCAGTTGTTTTTGCACAAATCCCTCTTTCCATTAATAGTTGAGTGTGAAAGAGAGGATTTGGATATTTTCTAGCTAAGATAAAGTCAAGGTGATGTCATTGAGTTCACATCTCTAAATTGGCTCATCTGTAATGAATATGAGTTCTTTTATTATCACAGGAGGCGTAAAGACAGACATGAAGCCAGTGGGTTTTCAAGGCGACCAGATCCAGATTCTGATGAAGATGAAGATTATGAGCGAGAAAGGAGAAAAAGAAGTAAGGCATGAACATAAATTTTATTTCCAACATGGTGCAATTCCACTATTTGCTTTTCATATTCAATTTGATACAGTTCAGTTGACATTGATTTAGGTAATTTTCTCTCTGGAATTCCAGCAATCCACATTTGCATAGTCTTTTTTTTTTTTTTTTTCTTCTTTAAGAAAACATTTTTATTGATTTCAGAGAGGAAGGCAGCGGGAGAGGAAGAGAGAGAGACACATACACACACATCAACGATGAGAACCATGGATGGGCTGCCTCCTGCACGCCCCACACTGGGGATCGTGTCCTGACTTGGTTCGTGACCTGGTTCGCAGGTCAATGCTCCACGCTGAGCCACACCTGCCTGGCTGGCTGTGTTTACATTTAAAACGCCCCCTTGTCTGCCCGCAGAGCCTGGCGTGGAAGCAGACAGCGATGAGAAGTCAGTGTGTGGTGCACTCAGAGCCGTTAATGAGTTTTGTAGCTTTTCCTCAGAGGCTCGTGTAGAGAGACATGGTCGTCCTTGAGAGGGAGTCACTTACTCCTTTTTAAATCCTCACCAGAGGATGCTTTTGCGTTGGTTTTTAGGGAGAACGGGAGAGAGAGGGAAAGACAGAGCAGCATTGATGGGAGAGAAAACATTGGCTGCCTCCTGCATGACACATTTGCATAGTCTTAATTTGTATTACATTTTTATGAATATTCTCTTTTGAGTTTCCCACCCACTTTCAGTAGATACTTTGAGCATAGCTTGAAATATATACACAAACTTTTCTTTACTTGTAGCATAGTCACACTGACCTATTCTCTGTGTCCAGCTTCATTGCTGTTAAGCATTGAATGGACAAAGCATTCGTTTCCAGAAAGTTTGTCACTGACATGCATGAATCTGAGGATATCATTTAGCTTCCCTGGATGTAGGTTTCTTTCAACGTCATCTGAAGAGCAGGAAGATAGAGAATTTGAACTAGTTAATAAGGCACCTTGTAGTTCTAAAATTTTACAAGCTGAATTATAATTGAGTTAAGACTAAATCCTTAGTGATTACTATTGATAGGCAGTTGAGTGTTTGTTCTTGGGAGAATGAAATGTTTCTTATTTTAACTTCATCATGCCCTCAATTGCCCCCCCTGCCGGCCTGATTGCCCCCAACTGTCCCCCACTGCTGGCCTGCTCAACCCCAACTGCCCCCACCCTTTGCCAGTCTGATCACCCCCAACTGCCCTACCCTCTTGGCCTGATTGCCCCTAACTGCCTCTGCCTTAGCCCCGCCACCATGGCTTTGTCTGGAAGATCTCCCAGTCTAATTAGCATATTACCCTTTTATTAGTACAGATTCTAGGGTTCTTAAATGCCTACTATGAAAAAAATAATTGTGTTTGTCTGGCTTTTTCATTTTCTACATTTTTAATCCTAGATTCAGATATTAAGTTCTTTAGATATTAGCTGGAGGGATGAAGTAGCAGTTCTATCTTCCTTCCTTCCTCCTTTCCTCCCTCTGTTCTCCCCTCTCCTCCCCCTCCCCCTTCCTTCTCTCTCCTCCCTCTTTCCTTTTTCCCCTCCCTCCCTTTCATTCCCTCCCCTCCCCGCTTCCTCCCTTCTTCCTTCCTTCCTTGTGGGATAGGACAAATTATTGGGAAGTATGGAACTTGGTTGGAGCATCTATAAGAAAGAATCTCCGAAAAGTCTGGGCCTCTCGGGGGCCCTGCCTTGACTTTTCAAACAAGTCTGAGCCCCCAGGTGTTTTACTGGAATCTTTATGTTTAGTCTTTAGACACCCTTGCTTAAAGGACACTGCAGATGGGTTTTCTCAAGGATACTGAGAAAGGATATTCTACTGTTATCTCAAGGATATCTTGCTAATAGTATCTAGAAAGGATACCGGGGGATTCTCTGCTGATATCTCAAGTATACTCACCCTGCTGATAGTATCTAGAAGTTAATTTTAGTTCAAGCTGTTGCTACAATAAAAGCCTAAGGAGGCAGGTGAACAGGGCTGTTTGGTTTTTCAAGCCAAGCAGTATCTTAGCGCTTTCTTTCACAGAAATGTGTGTCAAAGTAATCATTTATTCGTCGCTCATGGTCTGCCAGTCAGCCCCAGTAACAAATGGTATATATCATAGTCTTTGAGAGTCTGGCATCTGAAACATTTCTTTAATCAGAGGAATTTTATATTTTTGCAGGTATGGGCGGAGCCGCCATCGCACCACCCACTTCTCTTGTAGAGAAAGACAAAGAGTGTATGTATCTATGTCTCCCCTTCTTTTATTTTGATACAAATCTTTAACCCAGCCATGGCCAGTCTTAGCTCTATCAACCAGGTTTCCTGAATATAAAGGGAAATTGCCCCAAAGCCTGTCCTCTGGCCTGAACCCTGAGGCCCAGTGTGGATCCTTAAGACTGCTGTTCCCTTTCATTCCTTATACTTTAGAAGTTTTAATGCCAGGCTCTGAGACTTGGGTTTTTATACAGTGGTGTGCTTTCTTGTTGTTTTAATATATATATTTTTAAAATATATTTTATTGATTTTTGTACAGAGAAGAAGGGAGAGAGATAGAGAGTCAAAAACATCAATGAGAGAGTCATCGATCAGCTGCCTCTTGCACACCCCCTACTGGGGATATGCCCGCAACCAAGGTACATACCCTTGACCAGAATCGAACCCGGGGCCCTTCAGACCCCAAGCCGATGCTCTATCCATTAAGCCAAACTGGTCCTGGCTGTTTTAATATATTTTTTACTTGTTTATAGTATTACAAATATCTCCTATTCTCCCTCCCCTTTATCCCCTCCTCCCAGCTCCTACCCCCTACTCCCACCCCAGGTTTTTTACTACCCTATTGCCTGTGTCCATGATCTATGCATATAAGTATATAAGTTCTTTGGTTTTTCTCTTTTCGTCCTACTGTTGTTATATGTATTTTATTGATTTTTTTTAATAGAGATGAAGGGAGAGGGAGAGAGAGTTAGAAACATCGATGAGAGAGAAACATAAATCAGCTGCCTCCTGCACACCCCCTACCAGGGATGTGCCCGCAACCAAAGTACATGCCCTTAACTGGAATCGAACCTTGAGTCCGTAGACCGACACTCTATCTACTGAGCCAAACCGGTTAGGGCTACTGTTGTTTTTAAATTCATTTTGTCTTCTCCAACATTTCATATTTGGAGTTAGGCTAAAACAATAATAGCTCCTCCCTCAGTTTACAATTTGTGTCCTCAGTGTTTTAGATGCTGTTAGTACATGACCTTCCACAAGGTGGCAGTACCTTCCTGATTAGATTTTCGGCCATTAGTTTTGATTTCATCTCACAGGTTGTATGCTTTCACTTTCCTTGCCAGAACACCCCACCCGCTGTTTCTTCTCCCAGTGATCTGTTCTGGGAGAATTGAACTTTGATATATCATCTAGGTCATTTTCCTATCCTTTGGGTTGGACCATACCTAAACTATTCCAAGAAAATATAAACATCCCTAATGCTTTTTAATACCTGTTACACTATTTATGTTATCTTTTTAAAGAAGATAATTTAAAAAGTTTTGTTAAATATCTTTTGTGTAAAAACACCTAGCAAACCATAAACCCAATTGAAACCAGTCCATTTTTTTTTTTTTAAGCTTCCTTGTTGAAAATTATTGCTATAGCTAGGTTTGAAAATCACTGCTCTGGTACATGGTCCATAAACCCAGTGACCTTTATTTATTTTATGCTAGGCTAATGAAATAGATTAGAGTCCAATGACAGGTATACAAGATGCTATGGGAATCAAAAGAGATTTCATTTGGATCTGTCTGGAACATACAAAACTCTTAAGCATTCAGATAAAAATTGTCATTTAGAGCACCGTTAAAGGATAACATTTTAGTACGGTATAAAAAGGACATTTAAGATAACAGCTGGAACAAAGCTAAAATTAGAAAAATAATACTGTACCTCTATAATTTTTAAAAGCCCTGTAGAAGCTGTAAAATGGATTTTGTTTTTTCTCTTTATAGTAAACTAAAAATATCAGTTAAATTAGTTCAAAATAACTGATTTATACAAGTGCAGTTTGGAATTTTTTTTGTAGTATTTTGGTAAACCTATTTTATTTTTATCCAATAGTACCCCGAGAATTTCCTTATGAAGAGGAGTCAAGACCTCGTTCCCAGTCTTCTAAAGCTGCCATTCCTCCCCCTGTGTATGAGGAGCAGGAGAGACCCAGATCTCCAACGGGCCCTGGCAACTCCTTCCTCGCCAACATGGGGTAATGGTTCCAAGTGCTGTCGTCTTGGCTGGTGTAAGAAGGACGAGACTCATTGTGAAGGGTTGACAGCCCTTTCAGTAGACACAGCTTAGTTGAAAGTGAGGGCATTCTGCAATTGTAGGAAGATGCTTGGTGTGTTTAGTCACACAGTGTCATTCTTGAGAATATGAGTAACATGGAGGGTATTGCAGCACAATGTTATCTTATTCTATACAAAACAAAGCCTTCAGATGTAAGTTTCAGATGATTTCATTGCTGAACATTATATTCTCTAGGTAGAAACAGTTTCTCATAATTATTTACATATATTTTCAAAACATTTGCAAGTAAAATGTGGCTTAGGAATTATGACTTATGCTATTTCCAAAAGGTAAATGACATCTTTATTTTTTTTTATAAAATGGCCATTTGCTTTAAGGTCGTGATTCTGTACCTTTGGCTCTAAAAACTTAAGTCATTCAAACTATAATTAGACTGTTTGCCTGCATGTAAAAATCAATTTTAAGATTGACTTTCAGGTGTGGCTTGTGGAATTTAAAATCCCCACTGGATTTGCTGTGCATTTTGGTTAAAACATGTTTTATGTTTACTTTGTTTCTTTCACGCAATGAGAGACTATCAAATGAAACTGTGTTACACTAAGGCCTTTGTTTTATGTTCTCTTCTGCCTATGATAGAAATATTGTGACCATAGTAATCACACTGATCTGCCCTCGCCTATGAGCATATACTTTGATTCTTAGAGCCCTTGAGAGGTGACTATTCAAAAGTTGGAGTAAATGGCTGGGGTTCCCGCATTGCTAGAGGATTTTGAGTTTCTGACCTTAGGATCCATTTCCCAGACTTGTGTTTTCTATGGTAACTACTAGCCACGTTTGGCTATTAATTTAAAATGAATACAATTTAAAATGTTGTTCCTCAATCACTGGTCTCATCTCAAGTGCTCAATAACCACACAGGGCTAACAGCTACCCTATTGGTCAGTCCCCGTCAAGGTCCATTGGGCTGCCCTAGAATGTATGCTGGAAGGTGGAATCACATGAAACTGTTGTGTTTTTTCCTGCTGATGATAAAAATTGCAATAAATAAATATCTTACTGAATCCCTTTTTAAACAGGAATTCAGTCTTTAACTTATGCTGGAGAAAGATGTAGTGCAGTGCAATTCAGCAGTTTCAGTCTTTTCTTTTTAGTCCTAGAACAGTTTCAAATGAAATTTTAAAGGAAATCACATAAACATGAAGTAATGTAGGTGTAAATCTAGTTGAAGCAGGGTTTTGTGGTTCAAGCCTTGAGTAGCAGTGGTCACCTGGGACACTCTTGAGACCTGTGAGGCATCCCCAAGTGCAATAGGTATTAGAGAAAGAGCAGTGAACTGAGAATGAATTTTGGGTCCCAATTTCAATTTTACTGTTAATATGTAAGAAATAACTTCTAACATTATGTCTTGTTTTTGTTTCTAATCAGCTTTAAGCTAGCCTAGTTGACTAATCAGGGCTTCAGTTTATTTTCCCATCGATTAAGTAGATGATCTCTAGGATCTCTTTATAAAATCTGTTATTGTAAACTCTATTTAAAAAATGCAGTAATTTCCATCATGAAACTATACTTTTTGACAGGCATGTTTTAATTTTTTTATTTTTATGGCTTTAAAATAATTTTTATTTTTCTATTGCAGTTGACATACAATATTATATTAGTTTCTGGTGTACACTCCAGTGATTAGATATTATGTATTACTAAGTGATAACCCCAAAAAAATCTAGTACCCCTCTGACACCATACATAGTTATTGAAATATTATTGACTATTTCTTATGCTGTACTCTACATCTCCATGACTGTTCTGTAACTACCAATTTGTGCTTCTTAATCTCTTTACCTTTTTCACCCATTTCCCCAAATCTCTTCCCATCTGGCAAAAAGTTCTCTCTATATATATATGTATATCTGTTCTGCTTATTTATTTATTTATTTATTTATTTATTTTAAATATATTTTATTGATTTTTCACAGAGAGGAAGAGAGAGGGATAGAGAGTTAGAAACATCGATGAGAGAGAATCATCGATCAGCTGCCTCTTGCACACCCCCTACTGGGGATGTGTCCGCAACCAAGGTACATGCCCTTGCCCGGAATCGAACCTGGGACCTTTCAGCCTGCAGGCCGACGCTCTATCCACTGAGCCAAACCGGTCCTGGCTGCTTATTTATTTTGTTCTTTAGATTCCACATATACCTGTAAGTGAAGTCATTACATGGTATTTGTCTTCCTCTGATTTATTTCACTCAGCACAATGCCCTGTATGTCCATCATGTTGTTGAAGATTACAAGATTTTATCATTTAACCCAATTATTGATAGTTATTTATTGCCATTTTATTCATATTTTTTATTTTTATTTTTCTTTCTTTTCTGAAAGAAGACCCTTTAACATTTTTTGTAATACTGGTTTGGTGATGATTAACTCATTTAACTTTTTCTTATCTGGGCAGCTCTTTATCTGTCCTTCATTTCTAAGTGATAGCTTTGCTGGGTAGAGTAATCTTAGTTGTAGATCCTTGCTTTTCATCACTTTGAATAGTTCTTACTAGTCCTTTCTGACCTGCAAAGTTTTTGTTGAAAAATCAGCTGACAGTCTTGTATTATAGGAGCTCCTTTGTAGATAAATGCTTTTCTCTTGCTGCTTTTTAGAGATTCTCTCTTTGTGTTTAATCTTTGGCATTTTAATTATGATGTTCCTTGGTGTGGTCTTTTTGAGTTCATCTACTTTAGGGTTCTCTGTGCTTCCTTGACAGGCACATTTTAAAAGTAAATTGTGGTCATAAGACATACATCAATGAATGAAATCTGAAGAACAATATAAATATAAACAAACAACACAGACAGATTCATAGATATGGAGAACAGACTGATGGTTGCCAGAGAGAAGGTAGAAAAGGTAAAAGGGATTGAGAAGTACAGATTGGTAGCTACAAAATAGTTATGGGGATATAAAATACATCATGGGAAATATAGTCAGTGATATTGTAATAATTATGTGTGGTGCCAGGTAGATACTGAAAATTCCTGGGGAACCACTTTGTAAAGTACATGATTATCTAACCAATGTGTTGTATGCCTGAAATTGATACAAAATAATATTAAATGCAAACTGTGATTGAAAAAAAAATATTTCTATAGCAGTGCAGAACACATAGGAACGCTAATGTTTTGTAACAGAGGTACTGGGGAAATTTCATTAGAGAAACTAATATTTCCCTTACCTTAAAGATAATCTCAGGATGTCCAATATTTTTTATATATCTTTCATTCTGAACATCCCCACAACTTCATCTAATGGCCTGTTGTTAATTATGTGTGACCTCATCAAAGCCCTTGTAGAATTTCTATTCTCCTTTCCAGAAGGAAAGTGTTATGATATAAAATTCAATTTATGCTATAGCTGATGACCTTAAGTGTAAAGGACCTTCCTCTTTTCTTCTTCCCAGTGGCACTGTAGCACATAAAATCATGCAGAAGTATGGCTTTCGGGAAGGCCAAGGTCTTGGTAAGCATGAGCAAGGGCTGAGCACGGCATTGTCGGTGGAGAAGACAAGCAAGCGAGGAGGCAAGATCATTGTGGGCGAAGTCACAGAGAAAGGTGGGTCTTCCCCAGAAGCAGTGAGAGATGCATTCTAGACGCAGAGGACTGGCCTTCTTGAATAGAATAAGAGAATTTCTGATTATGATGCATTCCAATTCTGTGTTGTGGTTCACCATCTTTATTTGTTCAGAATGGATGTAGAGATAGGAAGGCCCATAGGAGGAAAGATAATGACTTTGGCAGAAAATGAACAGTTCCCAAGAAAATAAGTTCATGGCTACTTCTACTAGGCAAATAATCTTGTTAAATTGATAAGATCAGAGTTATGTGTTTTGTTTTGTTTTTTAAATATATTTTTATTGATTTCAGAGAGGAAGGGAGAGGGAGAGAGAGAAACATCATTGATTGGCTGCCTCCTGCATGCTCCCCTATGGGGATCGAGCCCACGCCCCGGGCATGTACACTTGACTGGAATCGAACACAGGAATCCTTTAGTCCCCAGGCTGAGCCAAACTGCTTAGGGCTATGGTTATATGTTTATAGCATGAAAGAGCCATATATAGTACATTATATGATTATATCTGCTATATTCCAATTTGTAAGGATTCTTATTGGTAAATTATGCCTAGTTTATGTTTTTTTGTTTTCTCAGTACACACCTTTAGTAAGTAGCCAGTCATCCTAGAGCCACCCTGATTTGTGGGAATATCTGCAATTGGCCAGTGGCTGGCTTATTATATTGGACTAGTGACCTTTGACCACTTCCCAAGCCAAGACTCACGTATAAGGGTTGAAATTGATATGCTCTGTCAACCCCTTAGGAAGTGAACTAAGCAAAAATTCTAGGTAACCAGGGAAGCTAAAAATTTCCAGAAATTACAGTAAAAACCTATACCAAAGTAAAGCATATGCTTCCATTACAGATAGGGCTATATTTTTTTTCTCAGCCATAGCTGATTATAGATGACTCCAGGACATAAGAGGGTTGCTATTAAAAATAAATTATTCATTGTAACTTAAACTTAATGCTATAATATATCTATATCTCATTGTTTGTTTTTCTACAGATGCAGCTAAGAAGTCAGATTCAAATCCATTAACTGAAATACTTAAATGTCCTACTAAAGTGGTCCTACTAAGGGTAAGAAGCCGAAGGAAACAACCTGTTTACCCACTTTGATTTATTGTCACTCCACCCTAACCTATTCCTGTATGCTTTCAGCACCACTGATACCATAATATAGTGTTTACCAAACTTTTGACCTATGTGTACCCCTTCTATAATTTTCATAACGCTGAGTACCCCTTGTACCCATGAGAACGTAGAATTAGGCGCATCTAAGCACGGTGCAGTGCATATCCCCACCAAACTCCAGTGCAACGTGTATCCCTACCAAACTCTTCCCGTACCCCTGGGGGTACACATACCACACTTTGGGAAACACTGCTGAAACAAAATACTTTTGCAAATGATATTTTTGGATAGACTCCACATAAGACTAATAGAATTTTTTACCAATGATTCTTTGCTAAAGATAATATTTAAGACAATAGTGATTGCTTTAAAATATTTGAAATTATTAGATGTTTATCTTAGTTTATGTATTTTGATGGTTGCATAATTGCTCTTGTAAATCTATGGAGTTTAGTGTATATATTTTTTTTAAGAAATAATTTTGGGGGATTACAGGGATGAAATTTTCATTGTGTTATTTGAGATAGAGAGAATTTACTACCATAAAATTATTTGTGCATCTTATTTATATAATAATAAATTATACTTGATACTTGAATTTTTTAATTTTTGTTTATAGAACATGGTTGGTGCAGGAGAGGTAGATGAAGACTTGGAAGTTGAAACCAAGGAAGAGTGTGAAAAATATGGCAAAGTTGGAAAATGTGTGATATTTGAAGTAAGAGAGTTTTCTTTAGGTGTTTATAAACTGTTTTGATTGACAGGTTACAAAACATTTTCTACAAATAGAGATGTGTGCTTGCTTAAATAACATATTGTCTTACTATGGAGGTGACAGGTGTTGGTTATACTTCTCTTACTAATTATAAAATTTTTAAACATAAAAACAAGGACTTCAAATTTTATTTGGAGAAGAAATAAACATTTCATTTTATGATTGAGGTTTAGTTTGATAATTAAATACTTTGATTATAGTATGCTCAGTAGTTTAGTTACTTGGACATGCCTTTGGTTTCATTCATTTGACAAGTATATATTTAGTGCCTCTCATATATCCAATACTGTATTGAGAGCATTGGGGATGTTCTGTGCTCTCAGTGATATGTCGAGTTGAAACAACAAAACACACATATAAAAATAGACAATATTTTGTTGCTAGATTCAGTAGTTATTGACTATAAGTACTGGAGTTGAGAAAAGGATTTAGATTAGAAACAACATCGGAAGGTTTTGTGACAATATCAGATGCCAGCCGAGCTTTGAAATGAATGGGTAGGATTTGGATAGGTGGAAAAGATATTTAGATTAGGGTCATAGCTTCTGTGACGAGGGATACAAAATGGAATGGTTGGGCATGTTAGGGATTAGCAGGAGACATGTTTACATAGGTGGAATAGGACCATATGCAAGGCGTAGAGAGTATGACAAAGGAATTTAACCTATAATGAGAGGCAGTTAGAATACAAATCTTTTTTTCTTAAATTTCTGCTCTCACTTTTGCTTCCTTTCTACAATATATCATATTGCCATTTGTTGACCATATAATTATTTGTTTACATGTCAGCTGGCTTAGGACCTTTACAAGACCAGACTATTCTACTTAGTTGTGTATTCCCAGTACCTAATACTGTGCCTGTCATAAACAGATCTTCAACAAATTTTTTATGCCAATTTATAGTTATTTCCTTGGTATTTGACATATATGATGATAATTGACACACTCTGATAGAAATCATTAACAGAAGAAAACTCATATTTAGTGATATCTCAAATATCTATCTATTATACTTTCATTTTTTCCAGATTCCTGGTGCCCCTGATGATGAAGCAGTACGAATATTTTTAGAATTTGAGAGGGTTGAATCAGCAATTAAAGGTAAGTTGTACAACTAAATATAAAGATAAAAAAGTTGAAATTATGATCTTGTTAGAATTAAAACATGTTCTTGTAATGTCTTAAAAAGAATCTGTATTAACTGACTGTCTTTTTGTTTGCTTTTTAGCTGTCGTTGATCTGAATGGGAGGTATTTTGGTGGACGGGTAGTAAAAGCATGTTTCTACAATTTGGATAAATTCAGGGTGTTGGATTTGGCAGAACAAGTTTGATTTTAAGAACTAGAGCACGGGCTACAAGCTGCAAGCTGAGCAGAGAAGAAAAAGGCGACAGCCAGTCTGCATGGCTGGGTACAGAGACTCTTGAAAGGACTGCTAAGATAAATGTTGATTAATCCCTTTTTTATTTTGTGTTTTTTTTAATATAGTATAAAAATCCTTTAAAAAAAAACAACACGAATATGTGTGCCTCTCTGGTTGTTTCTCTTTCTTATTACCACTTCTAGGTAATTAACTTCTTTTTGGCTAGGATTTCATGATAATTCTTGAGTGTTCCAGTGATACAGCATTTCTTGCACTAAAAATAGCTAGAAAGTTCTGGGATGTGGGGTTGTATTAAGTTATCCTTTGCATTTCTTTCATTTTTTTTTCTTTTTTTGATTCTTTTTAATAAAACTTGCAAGTTACTGTAGTTTCATAAATTCTATAATAAACTACATCTTGGCAGTCTGCCAAAGGTGAAAATGTTTGCTTTCTCTAACAGAGAAATTCTTATTGATTCCGGTCGTAGAAAAAAAGTCTTTAAGACCCTAACTATGGTTAAAGAATTGTGAACCTACCATGACCTGTTTGGATGAATCATTTCGATTAAACTAAGTCAGACTGTAGGGTTTGTGATGGACTTAGGATATAGAAATCATGAACCTAGCAATTCTAGCATAGTGTTCAGGATAGATCAGAAATGGCAAGTTAATTCAAAACCTCACGGGTACATTGTAGATGTGTGCCCATAATGTTTTGGAAATGGTGGATCCTTGGAGTCACATTGGCAGTAGTGTTAGTTATATATATTTTAAAATTTATAAAGTTCAGCCACATCAGCTACTTAAACTGTACTGCCAATTAATATAATTCCATAGTTATGAAAATTGTACCATTGAAGTACAGTGGTATGTGTGACTTAAAAATTAACAGGACCATGAAAAGAGACAAAAATATTTGGTGCTGGGTTTCATTGCTAGAGCAGGAAGTGTTTCCAGAATATTCTTGTGCCTGTGTTCTGGTCCTTGCTTGCCCGAATATTGCTGAAGGACATGCACCTATGTTGTCTCTCTAGGTTATTGTGACATGAAAGCATGTTGTTACCCTTTGTGGAAAGAAAGCACTCACTATTTCTTTACATTCCATGGACTTGATTTGAAGACCTAAGGAATATTCTAACCCTTTTTAAAAAAGGATTTTCTCATGTTTTTACTTTAACAGAAATAAAAGAATAATGTTTTCTCTTTTGTGGTATTATTTTACTGAGTAAAATTTAATTGACACTTGTTTTTTGTGATAAAAATGCACATATTTTGTAAGATAAGTTGGGTAAAAGATTAAAACATAAAAGGATTACATAATTGAATACTGAAGAATCAACAGCAGCCCTGAAACTTGAATGGATCTTCCTATGGACTTAGCTACTGAATAATGCCTTTTTTGGCTTACAAGTACCTAAATGTGCCTATGCTGCATGATTAATATGATAGCTTAGTTTAATTTGTATAAACTCTAATGTTCTTAAAGTATAAGTTCCAAACTACCTTTTATATCTGCATTATTATTTTGTTGCATAATAACATCATTGTTCATTTGCATTTAGGTGGCTTTCCCCAACATTTTCATGAACAACAATCAGAGATGTAAAATGCAAGTAATTAAGTTTTAGTAGCATGGACACAATTTCGTGAATATCTTTTTCCCCAATCTTTAATTATTTTTAATCTATCCATGACCGCATTAATTATTTTGCACATTATTTGCATTGAGTTTCTGATATTGGAATAATTTCTAAATCTGCAAAATAGTGCTAGAGAGATTTTAAATTAATGGTCCATTGCACAAAATTCGTGCGGGGGGGGGGGGGGGGGGGGAAGGCGGAGGAGGAGGGAAGTGTCCTTCAGCCTGGTCTGCACTCTCTCCAATCTGGGACTCCTTGGGGCAGTCAGATAGTCCTTCTGCAATCTGGGACTGCTGGCTCCTAACCGCTTACCTGCCTGCCTGCCTGATCACCCCCAATTGTCCCCCCTGCCGGCCTGATGCCCCAACTGCCCACTCCCAACTCCCTCCCCACCACCGACCTGCTCACTCCCAAACCCTCCCCCTCTCCATTGGTCTGCATGCCTCCAACTGCCCCCCCTACCGGCCTTTATGCCCCCAACTGCCCCCCCCCCCCCCCCCCCCCCCCCTCGCCAGCCTGATCACCCCTAACCACTCTGCCTGTCAGCTTGATCGCCCCCAACTGTCCTCCCACCCCTGCTGGCCTGCTCACTCCCAACTTACCCCCTGCCGATCTGCTTGCTCCCAACTGTCCCCCTGCCGGCCTACTTGCCCCCAACGGCCCCCCTTACTAGCATGCATAGCCCCAACTCTCCTATCCCTTCCCCCCCACCAGCCTATCACCACTAACTTCTCTGCCTGCCTGTCACCCTACTGGCCTGATTGCCCCCAACTGCCCCCCTACCAACCTGCTCACTCCCAATTTTCCCCCTCCCAGCCTGCTTGCACCAACTGCTCCCCATCATCCCCTCCCCCCTCCCGCCAGCCTGCTCCTAACTTACCCTCCTGCTGGTCTGCTTGCCCCCAACTGCTCCCCCTGCCAGCCTGCATGCCCCCAATTGCCCCCCCCCCCCGCCAGCCTACTTGCCTCCAATTGCCCCCCCCCCCCCCACGAGCCTGATCACCCCCAAGTGCCCTCCCCTCATGGCCCGATTGCCACTAACCGCCTCTGCTTCAGCCCCACCACCATGGTTTTGTCTGGAAGGTCTCCTGGTTTTATTAGCATATTACCCTTTTATTAGTCTAGATGAGAGATGTGGTGCACGAAACTTGAGCACTCCGTGGGGGGATTACCTCAACCCAGCCTGTGCCCTCTCACAGTCCAGGAGCCTCCATGTCTGAATGACAGTTGGGGAATAGGCGTAAGCTGGCAGTCGGACACCCTGTGCACTGCCATGGAGGTAGGAGAGGCTCCCGCCACCACCACTGTTCTCTCCAGTCATGAGCCTGGCTTCTGGCTGAGTGGCACTCCCCTTCTGGGAGCTCACTGACCACCAGGGGGGAGCTCCTACATTGAGCATCTGCCCCCTAGTGGTCAGTGCCTGTCATAGTGACCAATCATGCCACTGTTCAGTCAATTTGCATATTATCCTTTTATTATATAGGATGGCCACCCCAAGGCTTCAGCTTGGAATAGAGCTTGTACAGGAGCCGTTCTCATACTGGCCAAGGTTGGCACAGTGTAGTTTTTGGACATTGGTAGCAGAGACCTTGTCATCTCATAGTGGCATGTATTGTAGTAGGGCCACAAGTGTTGCAGGGAAGTCTTTGGAGCAGTTTCTAGATGTGATTTATTAGTTTTCTTGCTTTATATAAAACCTCCAAATGTGACTGTGTCTGTCTAGAGCAGTGGTTTCAATCTTTCTAATGCCGTGACCCCCAACCATAAAATTATTTTCGTTGCTACTTCATAATTGTAATTTTGCTACTATTATGAATGGTAATGTAAATACCTGTGTTTTCCGATGGTCTTATGCGACCCTGCTAGCGGTTTTCAACCTGTGGGTTGCGACACGGATGTGTTGATGCCAGATTGCATAGGTTCAAATCCTGGTTCAGCTTTTTTTGCTGTGTGACCAGGTGCCTCACTTGAAAATAGAAATGCTAATCATTCCTACTTCTTAGGATTATTAGGAGGATTAAACAACTCAAACATGCAAAACAGTGTCACAAAAGTGTTGAAACTGAGCCATTGCAAGCTGCAAAGTCCTGCAGGAGAGCAATTAAGTCAGACTAAAGGAAAATGGTTTGAAAGCAGTGGGAAGAAAACAAGAGCCTTGCTAAAGGAAACTGTTTGCAACCTGTGTAATCTGAGTGGACAGAGTTGCAAGGCTTAGAGTCTGCTGACTTGAGAAAACCTACCATAATTGAAACAACCAAGGAGCCCAGCAGCAGCTATAGCAGGAATTGAGATTAGAGATTGTGGTTTTATAAACATGGGATTGAAGAAGTTACTTTCCCACTTCAAATGATGGCTTTGAATTGACAATAGCCAGTAAGGAGAGAGAAGGGACTGGACAGAGCCCCAGATAACACATGCTTCAAGACAATGCTCAGCTACAGATCATGAGTAAGATCTTTGTGTTGATTTGAGCATGGAATGTGTAGGTATCCTAATTCTTTTTTGCCTTTGTATGCTAGGTCATTGGTTAAGGGTAGATAACCTGGCTTTTTAGCTGTAGGTCAAACCATGTAGGGCCACATGTACCTATCAAGAAAACTGCTTTTCACCCAGATACTTGGGACTGGAAGAGACTTGAAGTCATCTTCCATAGGTTGGGGGTGAGTGCCCTTAAAGTTTATATATGGGGAAAACAATGAATATTTTGAGGGGAACCAGAGTAGTCAATTGTGGTAGACAGCACATATCTCCAAACTCCTCCTCCTCATCTTATGCCTCTCTTTTAAAGGCTGGAAAAGTTCTTATGTGGAGGTAGGGGAAGCCATGTGCCATTTCTAGCCAATGAAGTGTAAGTGGTAATTTCGGTTACATTTAGGTAGTTTTACAAATACTTTTTACTTTCCTGGTTAAGCCATTTAATGAACTTCAGGTGGTTAACCAACATGCCAAGGATGGTGTGACGAAAGGCCTGGTCACATTAGTGAGGTGCTGCAAAGCCCTAGGTATAACTTCTGGGTGGAGAAACTGAGCATTGTCTGGTGGTTTCTTAGGCTTGAAGGCAAATTTACCTCTTGCTTATTCATCTATCTGCTTCACAAAATGTGTGCAATCAGAAGCAAGGGTTGGGGGGTTTGCAGATAATTAAAAATCACCTTTCAGTATAAGACTTTGCAGTCTATATTTTCTCATAGTTTGCTTTTCCTATAAGTAGTTCCTACCTAAGCTAAAAGAGTATTCAGTTTCTTGTTTCATTTGAATTCAACAAGCATTTTTTGTCAATTGCTATATGTATAGGTATTGCTTTTAGGAATAAAAAAGTGAATAAGGTAGTAATCCTTGCTTTCAGAGATTATATTTTAGAGAGACAGACACACAAAGGCAACACAGTACACGGTGAAACATGCCAAAACAAGATGTGGCTTGACTGAGCTTTTTAGTGTTAATGACTGTTTTTATCTCCAGTCCCAGCATCTGGAACACAATAAGTTGGCAGTAAATCTGCTAAACCTATATAATAAAAGACTAATATGCTGTGTCCAGTCATCTGGTTATCTATTCAACCAATCAAAGTGTAATATGCTAGTGATACGCTAAGGCTTCTCAACCGCTTGCTATGACCTGCACTGACAACCAGGGGACAAATGCTCCAACTGGTAGGATAGCTTGCTGCTGGGGTCCAACCAATCAGGACTGAGCAAGATGAACCAGCCACACCCTGGAGCCCTCCCACAGCCCCTCCCCAACTGGCCAACCTTCTGTGTCCCTCCCTGGCCCCAATCATGCACTGGTAGGGTCCCTCGGCCTTGTCTGCACCCTCTTGCAATCTGGGACCCCTTGGGTGATGTGGGAGAGCTGGCTTTGGCCTGATCCTGCAGGCCAGACGAGGGACACAAATTCATGCACCAGGCCTCTAGCACGTATATAGCACTGAGAGCTCAGAGATGACGGAGCAGATTTGTTAGGAGTGGTAAAGTCTAAGGTGGCAATCAAGAAGTGATTTTGCTAGGTGATTTCTCTCTTTGTCTTTTGTCCTTGTCATTTTAATTATGATGTGTCTTGATGTGGTCTTATTTGGATTCCTTTTGTTTGGGGTTCTGTGTGCTTCCTGGACTTGTAAGTTTATTTCTTTCACCAGGTGGGGGAAGTTTTCTGTCACTATTTCTTCAAATAGGTTTTCAATATCTTGCTCTCTCTCTTCTTCTGGGACCTCCATAATTCTGATGTTGGTATGTTTGAAGTTGTCCTAGAGGCTTCTTACACTATCTTCATATTTTTGGATTCTTTTTTCTTTTTACTGTTCCGGAGGAGTGTTTTTTGCTTCTTTGTCTTTCAAATCTTTGACTTGATTCTTGCAATCCTTTAGACTGCTTTTAGGTCTCTGTATAATATTTTTTTATTTCAGTCAGTGTATGGTTAATTTCTAGTTGATCCTTTTTCATATCCTCGAGGGTCTCATTAAATTTATTGGCCTTTGCTAGGAAATTCTTGAAAAACCTTATAACCATGATTTTGAACTCTATATCCAGTCTTTTGCTTTTCTCCATTTCCTTCAATTGTGGTCT